GTATTTTTGCATAACTAGTAATTAAAATCATGATGGGTGAACGACTTGGACAAATTCACTTCATTTTTTTTTGGTTGAAGATAAGGTATTGCATTTGTACGATGAAAAAAATAATGCAGTTTTCACAAATTTTCGTTTATCTCCTTTACCGTTCAAAACTCCTCTCAGTTAAGGATAAACTTTCATCATACGATATCTGGTACTTAAAAGGAGACAAGGCTCACCTGCTCGGTTAGTTCATGTTCGCTGTGCGACCGGCGCACCTTGTTCTTTTTCCTCATGACCGTGTGGAAGATGGGAGACTTGAAAACTTTGATTTTGGCACATGTAGAACGCAAAAGACGGGACTTACCGGTTCGTCTTGATATGGCCCAATTGGAGCTTGTAACTTCGCAGCGCGAATGGACGAAGCCGTACGAGTCGAACCACCGCTGCTAGCTGGCGACACAGCTCGCATCGATGGCAGATCGTCATCTGAAGAAAGGGAACAATAGGAAATCTTTTTGGAAAACAGTAAATAATGAACCTCTCTCAAACAGCGTCATGCCGTTGCCTGGTTGAATACCGTCCTGTTTGAACTCCACCACTACGGGTTCATATGAGAGGAGGATATAGATTTTTGGACCGAACAACAATCCGAGTAGTATGGACGAGCAGCTGATCAGTTCTAGTACGATCACGGTCTCCTGCATTGATAGAATTTTTATCTCTCTGTGTGTGACCAATTCAAAAAATGCATTACCTTGTATTCGTTTGGAATAACGAAGTAGACAGTGATCCAAGTGAACCATATGAAGGTACAGAGCAGAGATGAGACAAAAAGCCATTTTGTTTCCTAAAAAATCCTCAGAGTCTTAAATTCTGCGGTTTTTTAGATTTTACATAGTCATAATTAGAAATTATTCTCGAATTCTAAAGGTTAGCATGCACGGGTCTGAAACGGCGAAGGAAACTGAATCAGCTGATAGTCAATTCTTCAAATGATATTCTTTAATTTTTGCCCAGTTTTAATACGTGGGAGGAGCTAAAGCGGAGTTTGCCATTTTTGAACCATCCGTTTTCCTCGACTTCTATGCGCGAAAAAAATTCCAGCAAATG